AAAAAGAAGAAAGATGGCAGCCGCAGTCCTGCATTGATGCACGGTCCCTTGTTGATTCTTCTTGTCCTGTCAGTGTTGGGTTGCACATTCGTTTGCTAATCGGTGTTCCCATGACACAGTTGCACAGTTAACCTTTGTTTGAGTGGACATGGGTGCATTGTAAGGGCACTGTTATTTTTGGTTGGATATCAGCATTATTTACTTTTTCAGTTCGATAAATCTCTTGTTTGCATTTTTTTTTGCTAAAGAGATCTATTGGACTCCCTATGACACTCATCACATGACAAACCATCATTTTGTGAGGGGGTGTTCCTCTTTCTTTGTTCGCATTATTATCTGGGTTCTGTTTTGCCGTCATTTACTGTGTCCTCCTGGTGATGTGTGTGTGTGTTCCGTGATATTACTAACTATTGCTTTTACCCATGGGAATGAGATACAATCCCAATGTGTTTTAATTGCTGTGACTGAAATGTGAAGAATGACAGTAGGAGGTTCAAGACACACAAACACGCACACTACCAACCCTCCTTCTCTTTGTGTGTGTGTGTGGACTGTCATCATGTGTGCATCATTTCCGCCGGTTGCCCTGTACGAAAGACACACACACACCTACAGCAGGGAATTGTTTTCTTGCCTCCTGAACATATTCACATGGTGATCACGGCTTTCTTTTTTGTTTTGTTTTCATTTTATTGTTTTTTTCCATTGTGTGTGTGTGTTTCATTATAATTTCATTGCACATTGTGTGCAGCTATGTGCTTTTCTTTTGCGTTTCCCATACACCTTGTGTATCTTTTGTGCTCATCATTGTGAAATGATTCTTTTTTTCATTATATACAAACTGCTGCAGGGACATCAAGAATTAAGATATGGATACAGCACGTTCAGCACGCAATGATTTTCCGTTGTTAACCTTGGGGTGGATTGGACTGTGTCCAGGCATGGCAGCCACAGTAACACATGAATTTCTTTTTTTCTTTTTACATCGTTGCTCTATTATTGTCTCTGCCTCACGCCGTCACTCTTTTTCTTTTGCATTTCTTATTTTGATATAAAAATTGGTGGGTTGTAGGTGTTTGAGTGTGCCCCTCTGTTGTGTGTTCCTTTATGTGCGTGTGTATTCAGCTTGCTATTCACAACGCCCACGTAATGAAAACACATTTCTTTGTTCTCACCTTCTCTCTCGGTGGTGTCGCTCACGGTATTGCCACGGAGATATTTCTGCCCCTGTGTTGTGTGTTGTGTGGCTTGCTTGAGTGACTGCAGCCTGCGGGGGTGGACTGAGACTGTTCCGCCTCGGCTTCACGTAATGGGTCTGTTTTTTTCTTGATTTTGGGGATTGTGTTTGGTTGATGTGCTGGTGTGGGTGAATGTTTTTCTCTGATGGGAGTGGCAGCTGTGGTTATTGTACTGTGAGTGCTTTGTGTGCTGTTGGTATCCTGTTGTTGTTGTTCTTCCTCTGCTGCTCTTGTGTTTTTCTGTTCCTCTCTGTAGGTGTGTGGCTCCGTGTACATTTTAGTGAATGCCGTAGTGCCTCTCGGATATGAGCACGTGAGACTGTCATTGTGTGTGTGTGTGCACTGTGAGTGGGAAGGACACCGTTGTGTTGCTGGACCGCTACCGCTGCGGCGTCTGTGGGGTTTCTGAATGGCATGCTTCGCTTCGGCGGGGCTCGAGGAGGGGCACTTTACGTCCCGAGGCGCTGAACCTTGAGGCCTGAAATATCACATGCTCAGGGACTTTGAACTTGAGAGAAAAAGAAGAGTGAGGATGAGGAAAAAAAA